TCGATATGATATTGGCTATTGGTTTGTGATATATAGGGAGGGGGAGGGGGAGGGAGAAGGAGGTCTTCCATTTGCTGGGTCACTCCCCAGTTGGCTGCAATGGCCAGAACTGCACTGATCTGAAGCCAGGAGCTTCTTCCGGGTCTCCCACAAGGGTGCGGGGGCCCAAGGACTTGGGCCATCTTCTACTGCTTTCCCAGGCCATAGCAGAGAGCAGGATCAGAAGTGCAGTAGCTAGGACTTGACCCGGCACTCATATGGGATGCTGGCACTGCAGGCGGTGGCTTCACCTGCTACACCACAGAAACGGCCCCCAAGACATTTCTTTTTCAATGTAAGCAAGTAATGCTCACCTCTAAATACTGCTTTTGCTGTATCCCACAGATTTTAATGTTTGTTTTCATTTTAATTTACTTCAAGAAAGTTTTTGATTTCCTTTCTAATTTCTTCAGTGAGACAATGATTATTCAGTAGCATGTTGTTTAATGCCCAAGTATTTGTGAGTGTTCTATTGTTAATTTCTAGTTTTAATCCTTTAGGGTATGAGAGGATACATGGCATGATACCAATCTTTAAAACTTTGCTGAACATGATTTGTGGTCTAATAAGTGGTCTATTCTAGAAAATGTTCCATGTGCTGATAAGAATTTGTTTTCTGTAGTAGTTGGGTGAAATGTCCCATAAATGTCTGTTAGGTCAATTTGCTCAATTTATGTTTCAACTCTAATGTTTTTTTTTTTTTAAGATTTTATTTGTTTATTTGACAGGTAGAGTTACAGACAGTGAGAAAGAGAGACAGAGAGAAAGGTCTTCCTTTTTTGCTGGTTCACTCCCCAAATGGTCACCACGGCTGGAACTATGCCGATCCAAAGCCAGGAGCCAGGTGCCTCCTTCTGGTCTCCCATGTGGGTGCAGGCGCCCAAGCACTTGGGCCATCCTCCACTGCCTTCCTGGGCCATGGCAGAGAGCTGGACTGGAAGAGGAGCAGCCGGGACTAGAACCCAGTGCCCATATGGGATGCTGGTGCCGCAGGCAGAGGATTAACCAAGTAAGCCATGGAGCCAGCCCCAACTCTAATGTATCTTTATTGATTTTCTGTTCATTGATGAGTGGGGTGTTGAAGTCACCCATTATTATTGTATTGGAATCTATAACTCCCTTTAGGTCTGAAAGTATTTATTGTATATATCTGAGTAGTTTGTGTTGGGTACATATATATTTTCGATTGTTATGTCTTCTTGCTGAATTGAACCGTTTATCTAAATATAGTGTTTTTCTTTTTCTCATTTTATAGTTTATGATTTAAAGTCCATTTTATGTGATATCAGGATAGCTAGGGCTGACTGTTTTGGTTTCTACTTACCTGGTACATCTTTTTCCAAACCTTCATTTTCAGTCTGCATGTATCTTTGTGCAGTGAGTTTCTTGTAGGCAGCACATAGTAGGGTTATGGTTTTTTATCCATTCAGCCAACCTAATTCTTTTGGTTGGTGAATTTAATCCATTTACATTCAAGGTTAGTACTGACAGATAAGAATTGGGACCTGTCATTTTGTTGATTAGATAATGATTCTACCTGCTCTGTCAGTGAATTTGGTAGTGTCATGCGTTTCGTCTTTACTTCTAATGCAGGACACCTTTCAGAATTTCTTTTAAGGCTGATCTGGTGGTGGAGAATTCTGTTTTTGCTTATCTAGAAAATACTTTATTTTTCCTTCACTTTTAAAGAATAGCTTTGCTGGATATAATATTCTGGCTAGAATTTTTTTTCTGTTAAGACCTTGAATATATCATTCCCAGTCTCTTCTGGCCACTGAGAATCTTCATGTTAATCTAATTAGTTTTTAGATGCAACATGATGCTTTTCTCTTACTATCTTTAGGATTCTCTACTTGTCTTTAACTTTTGACAATTTGATGACAGTATACCTTGGAGAAGATCTTTTTTGGTTGAGTCTGCTTGGGGTTCTTTGTGCTTCCTGTATCTGGATGTCCATGTCTGTTTCAAGACCTGGGACATTTTCAACTATTATTTCATTTAGTAGTTCTCAATGTCTTTCTTTTTCTTCTCGTTCAGGAATGCCTATAATACAAATATTTGGTTGCTTAGTTGTATCCCCTATTTAGTGTAGACTTTCTTCATTCTTTTAAACTCTGTTCTATTTTTATCTGACTGGGTTATTTCAAAATTCTTGTTCTCAAGGTCATAAATTCTTTCCTCCACTTGGTCTGTTAAAGCTCTCAATCATATTTTCATTTCACTGACTGAAGATTTCATTTCCAAAATTTTTATTTGGTTCTTCTTAATGAGTTCTATCTCCTTAGTATTATTTCCATTCAAATCACTCATTGATTTCCTCATTTCTTTAATATGTCTATCTGTATTATCTTGCCTCTCACTGAGTTTCCTCACAATCATTATTTTGAATTCTGTATCTGTCATTTCATAGATTTCCTTCAGTTCAAGATGTAATCCTGGAGGAGTACTGTGTTCTTTTGGAGGTGTCATGCTACTTTGCTTCTTCATGTTTCCTGTGTCTCTATGTTGACATCTGCCCTTCTGCTGTATTCGTCCCAATAGGGTACCACTTTATACCCACTAGAGAGGGACAGTAACAAAGCACTAGTAATGATATAGAGAAACTGGAACCTTCATACATTGCTGGTGGAAATATAAAATGGCACACACTCTTTGGACAATTTTTCAGGGTAGGTTCTATTTTAAGAGTTTATGATTACAAACCTTTCTGCCAGGACTCTCCATCCTTTGTCCTGGAGGAGAGGGGGAGGTGGGTAAAGACTCCCTTAAAAACCTAGGAGTCCAAACAGACTGCACACTCAGCCCTCTGCCTCTCTGCCAGCCTGGCCTGCCCAGGTGTATTCTCTCCATTCAACCATGTAACCTCGCTCTCCCTTGGTCTGAGCGACTGGTCGCTCTCTCTCTGTCCCTTCCGGTCTGATGGATGCCCTATCTCCAATAAAACCTTATCACTCTGAAAAAGAAAGTTTATGATTTAGCCGGAATGCAGGTTATCATATGGCTTGTTGCTTTGACTTCAGTTCTAGGAGAGCCTAGGAGTATAGTCTCTGATGGATTTCTTTTGTCTTAATCAATGTTTTATCTGTGTCTACAAGTGACACAGTGGTCCAGTCTACTGAAGTTCACAGGGACATAAGTGTGGTTTTGAGATAAATAATAGTTTCCTTGGGTGAGTTTCTTTGGCCCACACAGTTCAGTGTCACTCTCTCTGGCAACTGTGATATCCAGGGGTTGTTCTTGGTGCTGAGGGAGACAAGGGTGGCTGCTCTCTTGTCCTGCTAGCAAGCCTGGGGATGCTGGGGCTTATGGTACTAACTGCTGTGGCTCTACTACTGTGTGATACAGATGTACCCTTCCTCAGGTCCTGCTAGGAGGGTCCAATTGGTGCTGTAGCTTACAGCAACAACAGCCTTAGTCTAGGGCTAGGGGGTTGTGAACTGAACTCTGTTCCAGTCCTACAGGGTGGCTACAAGGTATACAGGTGATTTTACTGTGGGGTGTGTAAGTCCAGAGAGGTGGAAAGCAGTAAGTTTTTCCCTATGTTCACTGAGTAGATTGTGGTGGCACTGAGAAATTTAGAATGAATTGTTACAGTCCTGGTATTGCAGGGTATACTGGTTACCCAAATCTCCCAGAGTTGGAATAGATTTTTTTTTTTTTTTAATGTGTTAGACCCTAACAGCTTAGGTAAATTCCCTAGCTCATGTACAGTGTGTGAGCATAGCTCTGGGGCTAATGCCTAAAAACTCCTACACTTGCAGGATGTGGGAGATCTGTCCTTTAACCCACACATTGCCCTAACTCTGACTATGATGCTGGTAGGAGCAGAATAGAAGCACTCTGTGTGGCTTTTCACTGCTGAGTATGATGCTCTGTGTGGGTGGGGGAGGTGAGGAAAGGAAAGGAAAGCAATGTCGCTTCCCGACTGCAAGCCCGGCAGTTGCTCAGACCTCAGTCAGTTCTCCAGGCTGAAGTAGAAGTCAGTGAGTGGATGACTGTGGAACTCCTTCTGAGCTAAAACTGCAAGTGGCGGGGTACGGTGATTTCTCCCTACCTCAAGGTGGTAAGATGGTATAGCTCACAGATCTAGCTGTGCCGCGACAGTGTCTCTGTCTTCTCTGCTCCTCTTGTCCCATGGAGTTTTAGAGTCTTTTTTTTTTTTTCACTTCATCGCTGAAAATTTCTGTCAGACCTCTGGAAATGTAGTCCTTCCTTTTTCTTTTCATATCTCACAGCACCTTCAGTTAGTGTTGCTATGCCCTTCTCAGCCATCTTGGATCCTTTCATCTGAGTCTGTTTTTATTTAATCTTCACTGTGGACTTCTTTCAAACCTATCTTCCAGTTCACTTATTTTCAGAATTAACTGTATTTACTCTCCTGTTAAACATCCCAGTAGTTGTTAATTTTGGTTAAACTTTTCAATTCAGGAACTTTTGCTTGTTGCTTTCTCAAATCTGTTATGTCAGTTTGCTATAGCTTCCAGTTTAATTCTTTGAATATAATAAGCATACTTGTTTGTAGACAATGCATAATAATGCCAGTAACTGGCAACTTTCTGCTAATACCCACTCTTTGTGCTGGTTTTCACTTACTGTCTTGTTTCTTCATGTAGTGTCTAGTTCTTTTTGATTATGTGGTAGATATTATATTTGAAAAATTATTTACATGAGATGGCTTCTTTACACTGATTTACTTACTCCTTGGGTTAATCCAGAATATTTTCTCCCTAAAGAAGGTAATAGTTTCCCAGTTTTCTTATTGCTGCTCTGTAGCTTTGGCCAATGTAGGTACAGTTACAGAGCAGATAATATAGTTGCAGTCAGAGATACTCAAAATAAGTCTTAATACATCACTAATAAAACAAAGAAGGGTTCTGAGTCAAATAATGATTAAAGAATATTAGGAAAAAGCTGAAAAAGTGTTCATGATCAAATATGATAAGGTATATTTATTTTCTCACCATTTTCTGCCAATGGAGCAAGAACTTCAAAAATCATTTCCCTCTTATCATGTTCTATTTGTTTCTTGAAAAGTTTTACCAGCTCTTCAGCAATGTTTGTACTAGCAAACTGTTCTTTACTTGACTCTGCAAAATAAGAGAAATAAACAAAATTAAACCCAGAAATTGTTCTATTACTTTCAATGCTTGGTCACTTTGTATCATTACTGATAAAAAAAAAAGCACTCTTTAAGTACAGAAAAAGCATTTTTAATGTCCTTGAAAGGAAAAATGCCTAAGGTTTTAGAGAAAATGTTTTGACCCAATTATATCTGAGGCTATAAAAAATGTTTTCACTAGCAATTCAGGTAGCTATAGCAACAATAAAATTACTAAGTAATAAATTTATAGTTTCAAGGCCTTTAGATTACTCATAAAAGACTGTATGAGCAGACTGGCTGGATTAAATGTGACTTATTTTATCTTTATGCCATTAAAGTGATATGTTTTTGCACTGGCCCTGACATGCCTACTATTAAAGCATAGTTCTTCACAAATACTTAAGATGTCATTCCCTCTTGACTCTTTAGCATCTCCAACTTCTCACTGCCAGTCTGTATTTCAATATGCTTTAGTGTTTCTCAAAATATATGAAAAACAAATATCTTACCTTTATTCAATGTCTTTCTTTAACTACCATTCAATCTTGGTCTCTTTTACAAACAAGTTTCTTGACAGTATTGTCTATGCACACTGCCTCTACTTTGAATCACAGGAATTCCTAAACCCACTTCAAACTTGTTTTCTTCCACTCCTACAGTTTGTTGTCCATGTTTATTTCTCTTTCTACCAAACTTCTATGAATTCTTATTCCTTGGGACATACCAGTCCTTTGCTTTCTTATATTTATGGACCTTATTCTCACATGAGGTAATTAATTCTCTTCCATAGCATCAAAGCACATCTGTGTGTTGATATTTTATAACTATATTTCACTAGCCCTTCTCTGGACTCCAAGCTATGTATTTAACTGTCTATTTGATGTCTCTAATTCAGTATCTCTTGGGCATCCTAAACTCAATATCTAAAACAACTATTGATATACCCTGAAATCTCTTCTTCCTCTAGACTTTCATAACTCAGTAAATTCTCCCTCAGTCCATCTGTATAAAAGCAGAAATCTGATCATTGCTCATGTTTTTACTCAACATCCATGTCCAATAAATCATCAAGATCTACCAATCTCCCTTCAAATTCCAACCTGAATCCATTCCATTTCTCTCCAAATCGCCTCTCAATTTCTTTGGTTAAAAATTAAGTATCCTATTAAGTTTCCTAGAAACTTCTTTCAGAGAATTCTGACCGAATCTAATCAATACTGGTTGTTCTCTACGTTTGGGGGCACAGTTGACATCCTACAATCAACCCTTTAATCATTATCTTGATGGATCATTTCTTCTTTCTCAATTAGGGACTCTGTTACCATTGTCCTCTCTCCTTTATTTGTTTTGTTTTGGTGGAAGCATATTCAACAATTTCCTGAGAAAGCTACTGTATACTTTGTATAGGTAGGTGCTTTGAAATGATGACTTTCTGAAAATGTTATCTCCTCACCTTATGCTAATTACTTTCTCAGAAAAGCATAATTTATATGATATTTAATATTTATATATAATAACATATATATCATATAATATATATTATATAATATAAAATACATGCTATATTATTACATAATATAATATATAATATTTGGTATTTATATAATTTATAATTATATGCCTATTTGTGAATTATTTAATAAATAATTGTTCACTCCATCGACTTAACAGGGACAGTTGTATTATTTTAACCACCACAAACATAACACACAGAAACACTGCCTGGTAGACAGCAGGTGTTTGAAATAAATTTATTGACTAAATGAATAACTAATATGAACACGTAAATGAATCCAAGAGTTAGATATCATTTTGTAGCCTCTGGTAAATCTCCATGTTATATATCAAATAGAAAAGTATGAATACTGTAAACTTAACTTTTTAAGAGATTTTTTAAGAGAAAGGACAAATACAAATTTTAATACAGCTTAATACAATCTTGGCTGGCTTTTCATTTCACCACATTTGGTGCATACATCAGTAATCTATGCCAGAATTATGAGGACAGGTGAGGTGTCCTTTCCAATAAACTACTAAACCCTTAGACGTTGTATTCTGTAAAGGTCAGCACATCCTACCCTAAAAGGAGGATAGTCTGATTTAAATAGAAATGATTTAACTCTTGAACATTGCTTATAGTTCCTCTGCTTCAGGAAATTCTCCAAATGAAATGAGTTTCAGAAACACAAAATCATAGGTGAGGCAGACAGATATCATTACTCACCTACTTATGTGCGTTTATTCTTCTTTAAAATAATACTATTTGTACTCTTTTCTTTTCAAAACATATTCTCTTCCCCCAAACATTTACTAAACTGCTGCTATGTAACTCAGTTCTTGCTTGCTAGCACAAAAAGCATACATACAAGAATTAAAGAACAAAATCTATACTTACCTTGCAGGTTGATTAGAGTGAAAAGACAGCATGAAGTATGATTTGAACATTAAATCCAAATTAAATGACAAACATTCTTAACAGACTTTCAGCAAGAACTTCATTTTCTAATGCTCTTTTTTTAAAATCAAAATTACAGTTTAAAATGTTGTTTAACCTAATAATACCAGAAGACTGTAGCTTCCTCTTCCCTATTTCTTCTTCCTCATAAGCAAATAAATAAACCTCTTTTAGCTTAATTTCTTTTTAAACTTACCTAGCTGTAATGTAATAGTATGGCCACTTCTTAATTTTAGATATTTCTGATCAACTTTCTACTATGAAAGATGAGACACTAGTTTTCTTTGCATCTTGAATCCTATACATTCTATCTTCCCAATTTAGCTATTCTGTAAATTTTAGTTATATAGTGTTCTGATAAGACTTTATTTTCCTTCAAATATTTTTCTTTCATTTGCTTAGTTTCTATACACTTATTAATTCAACTCCAAACACACCCCCAGTTAACACCGGGCAATAAAACTTTCATTGACAGGAGAAAAATTATTCTAGGGAATATATGCTCTATTTCAGAGTCAATGGGCATACTACAATGGGCATAACCGGTTCCTGATATAAACTAAAAGTTTTAAAAGATAATGGAATATTTCTTTTATCTTTTCCTCCTCCAAATGGGGTAGTGCAGCTGGAGCTAGGGACTGAGTGTAAAACTGGACTAAAGGACCAGCATTGTGACACAGCAGGTTAGGCCACTATCTGTGATGCCAGCATCTAAAAGGAGTACTGGTTCAGCTCCTGGCTGCCCAGCTATTGTGCCTGGGAAAACAGGATAAGATGGCTCAAGTACTTGAGACCATGCCACCGAGGTGGGAGACTCCTGTGGATTTTCAGTCTCCTTGTTTCAGCCTTGCCCAGTCCTGGCTGTTGTGGCCATTTGAGGGAGTGAACCAGTAGATGGAAGAACTTTTTCTTTGTCTTTTCCTCTGTTGCTCTGTCTTTCAATAAATTAATCTTAAAAAACTGGGCTGAATCAAATTTATCTTTTAATATAGACTGGGGGGATGAGGCTGAATTAAGGTGGTCTGCAATCTCCCAAACAAATCCAGATTTTAAAAAATAATTTTTAAGTGACACAAAAATTGCTCATTTATATAACATGTGATGTTTTCATCCATGTATACATTGTGTAATATCCAAAGAGGGTAAACATCTACCTCCACAAGCATTCAATCTTTATGCTGAAAACAGTTAAAAATCCTTTGTTTTTTTTTTTTTTTTAATTTTAGAGAAATACACAGCATATTATCATTAGCTATAGTCACCTTGTTGTGCAATAGAACTCTGTACCCGTTAAACAAACTTTCTCCATCTTGGTCTTACTTGAATAATGAAAAAAAAAAAAAGTTGAACAGGGGATGTTTGGTACAGTGGTTGGAATGCTTGCATCCCGTATCAGCATGTTTGGGTTCAAGTCCTGGTTCTGTTTCTGATTCTAGCTTCCTGCTAATGCATACCCTAAGAGGCAGCAGGTGATGGCTCCAGTGGTTGAGTCCCTGCCACCAAAGAGGCAACCTGGATTGAATCCTGGCTCCTGGGCATTGGGGGAGTAAACCAGTGGATAGGAAGTTTGTCTCTCAAATAAAATAAATAATAAAGAAAAATATGGCAAAATGTTAATCAGGATAGTAAGAAAAGAAGAAAATCAGAAGACAGAAGATAGTCACAAACATTAGGATATGACCCAGTGATTGACTTTAAAAATCTATCACTGATGAATAATCCTTACTGCCTTGGCTTGAAGTCAAAACAAAAGCAAAGTAGTGAAATCAAGATTTCAATGTGTAACATGAAAGGTTATATGGTGCTTTTATTACTTTCTTTATAAAACAGGGATAACTGACAGTATGGACATTTTTTATTGTAACTACTTTTATACCTACGGTAACATCATTTAGCTTCTTTACCCTAATAAAGAATCTGGTGTGAATGTGGTTCTGAAGGACATCTGTATCAGTAACTATAACATTCTGTCAAGAGTTACAGGAAGAAAGGAGAGAAGGAAGGTAGAGGATATAAAGCAGAGAGAAAAAGAAGAAGAAAGCTGATTCATCACATAGAGGGAAAAAAAACAGAAAAAGAGAGGTGGGTAGTCAGGGATCGGTTCATTCCTTTGATCAGAGTAGGGACGAGTTTCCAGCATTATTCTGGTCCCGTTTGCTTTCTGATTTTCAAGGATTTCTTAAATTATGCTTTCAAGGAGCTATCATTGTGGTAAGGTGGATTAAGCTCCCACCTGGAACACCAGCATTCCACATGGGTGCTGATTTGAGTCCTGGCTACTTTGCTTCAGATCCAGCTCTCTGCTAATGTGACTGGGAAAACAGTAGAAGATGGCCCAAGTGCTTGGGCCCCTGCATCCACATGAGAAATCTGGGTGAACCTTCTAGCTCAGCTTTTGCCTGGCCACACCATGGCTTCTGTAGCTATTTGGAGAGTGATCTAGTGGATGGAAAATCTCTGTAACTCTGCCTTTTGAATAAATTAAAGAAATGTTTAAACCAATTTGTGGAGGTCAGCACTGTGACATAGTGAGTTAAGCTACCACCTGCAGTGCTGGCATCTCATATAGGGTCTGGCTGGTCCATTTCTGATCCAGCTTCCTGCTAATGTGCTTGGGAAAGCAGTGGAAGATGGCCCAAGTGCCTGGGGCCCTGTACCTTCGTGGGAGACCTGGATGAAGCTCCTGGCTCCTAGCTGTGGCTTGGCCACGTCATGGCTTTTGTAGCCATCTGGGGACTGAACCAGCGGATGGAAGACCCCTCTCTCTGTCTCTATCCTTCCCTCTGTAACCGCCTTTCAAGTAAATACAATAAATATTTTTTGAAAATTTGTTTTCTAATGTTGTTATAAATATATTCTCATGAAAAAGTTCTGTTATTTTTAGGGATTTTGTGAAAAAGGGAAAGGAACCTTAGCCTGCTACATTCCTTCTTATCTAATCAGCAAAGATTTATACAATGTAATTATAATGTATTTTATTTTTGGCATGAATATACATTGATTTCAAGACCAGTCCCAGTGTAAGAATATTGAAGTCAATTGATAAAATTTTAAATATTCGGGTCGGCGCCACGGCTCACTAGGCTAATCTTCCGCCTGTGGTGCTGGCACCCCAGGTTCTAGTCCCGGTTGGGGCGCCAGTTCTGTCCTGGTTGCTCCTCTTCTAGTCCAGCTCGCTGCTGTGGCCCGGGGAGGCAGTGGAGGATGGCCCAAGTGCTTGGGCCCTGCACCTGCATGGGAGACCAAGAGGAAGCACCTGGCTCCTGGTTTCAGATAGGCTCAGTGCGCTGGCAGTAGTGGCCATTTGAGGGGTGAACCAACGGAAGGAAGACCTTTCTCTCTGTTTCTCTCTCACTAACTCTGCCTATCAAAAAAAATTTAAATATTCAACTCCATTAAATAATATACAATGTAAACATTAAACCTTAATACAGAATGTAATTAGGAAAGCAATGTAGTATCAATTATAAATAATATAATCTTAAGATCTAATTGGATCTACTTCTTCTTAATACTTTAGAAAACATCCTGTAATGCTTAAAATTAAAATTAATATAACAAAAAATGAATTTCCAGGTTCTTGATATGTAAAGGAAAATTTATTATGTGGTTCATGCCTAGGACTTACCAAGTTCTGCTAAATTTCCAAATGCAACAAGACACATCTCTGTAAGAGCTGCATTTTGACAGTGGATACCCAGTAATTTCACTAAGGTAGGAATAACACCCATATTGATAAGCTGAGCCTGAAGGGAATCTGTTAAGAAAGAGAAAACAAACAAACAAACAAAAAAAACAAAGGTGTTCAAATATGAAATTAATATTAGCAAGAAAAAAATCTCTTTTAATCTCTATTATATACTCAGTGCTATCTGAATTACATTAAAACGGCATCCATTCATATGATTGTCTGGAAAACTGAAAAAACAGAGTGGGTTTGTAAGAGCTGTGTGCTCTGAACCTTTACCAAAGAAATTTAGAAATGGAATTAAATTTAAAGAATATATCAAATCATAGGTTTTTTTGGGTAAAAAAATGAGTCATACCAATAAAGATCAGACTTTTAATAGGTATAAATAATGAAAAATTACCATAATTTTGAAATTGAAAGGTTAAATAACATGTACATTACAGGAAATCAGGGAATATACGAAAAGCTTAAGAAAAATAAAGCTTAATAAAGACCAATAAAGGAGACAAAAATCTTAAAATTCTTTAAAAACAGTTTCTTCATTGTAAAAATTAAAAGGTTTATAATTGACTCTGAGTATTTGCAAGCAGGGCGTTCTTTGAAGACTTAATCTAGGAAGGAATGTACTTTTAACAAGGAAAAATTGGTTAAAATATTTTCTTTTTCAAGTTTTATTTAATAACAGTAAAAGAGCTAGCTTGAGAGGTGATGAATGAGGTCAACACGACCCTGTCACCCTTGTTTGCCTTCACTTTCTAAGCAATTGACTTTAAGGCACTAAACAAGCTTTGGATCTCCACACTGGTTCTTTATGGACAATAACAGAACACGTGCAGCGAGGCTGAAGGTGAAGTGTAAACCACAAGTACTACCTCTGAGAATAAGCTGAGAAAGACACATGCATTCACATATTTATGAACAATACTACTACTACTGCTAATTGCTTCATAAAGATTTAGGAATGCTTTTTCACATTCTTTTTTCTCCTGAAAATTATCTGCCATTTTCAAGCTAATGTTTTTCTCCAAATTCTCTTAAGTTACTTATTTGGGATCTAAAGATAAAAACTCTGTTTTAACAAAACACATTCTTCTTCACAGCACAAATCCCTTGACAGGGTTTGTCTGCTAAACCCCTTTTTATTATTCTTTATAGTTCTTAACCTGTAGATAAGGAAGTGGGTGGATTATGAGACAAGAACATAAAGGCAAGACTGAGCTGTCTCACATGCCAGGTGATAACTTCCTTGATGGTCTTTGTTGTTGATTCTTCCAGGTTTTAAAGTAAGGTTTGAAGACAGCCAACAGAGATTTATTGCTCCTGAAAACTGATGAGTGGGCATGTAGGGATAATCATTTGGTTTGCTTATGGGAGCCCTTACATTAGAAAAGGGCCTATTAACAAAACAACAGAAAATAAACCTGACAAAAGAAGGGGAAGTTAGAGTTCAAATCCCCTAAAACAATTTCCAATTTGCAATGGAATTAAGAAATCTATTCTAAAAGAGATAAAGAATGTAGTGTAGTCAACCAAATGATCTGTTTTTACACTTTTGATGGTAAACATTTTTTCTGAATATACAACTCAGCAATGATGAATAATTCACAATACATTTTAGAGGCAAAATACTTATGCTATAGGATACATTGCTATACCTGCATTATAATGGCAGAATACTTGCATTCTGGTTACAGTGTTTGTAAGGATCATGCACCAAGGAATTTCCAAGTTAGAAATTATACGTCATCACTTACCAGAAGAGAGAGTGCTTTCTTTTTATCACCTCTGCATATCCTTGTTCTTTAGCAGTTTGTTTATGTATTTATTTAGACTACCTTTTAAATACTGCAGAGCTGAACAATCATTAAAATTTCAGGTACGTAAGCGTGAGCACTAGCGCATGCATTGAGTGTGAGTCAAATTCCACTATAAGTCTGCATATACGTAAGCATCACACACCCCCTCAGTACTGTTGGTAGAAACTACGAAAATCCAACAGTCCAGGGACATCAGAGGAGTAACACATTTTATCATGGAGATAACTAAAGATGAGAATGCCACTTAGAAGATTATGTTCTTCAGATGTTCTTCTAACTTGGCATATCTACCACCATTTTGGACCTCTTTTACAATGCTGTAAATTTTGGCTCTAAGGAAAAGAGGACCAAAAAGTTAAGAAATGTTGCAGAGCTTAACTACAATCTTTGGCATACAAATTGAAGCAGTAATATTTGAAATTGTGGCAGATCAGGAGAAAAAGTAGCATGGCCAAATGGTATATGGTGTGAATTGCCATAATTAATGAAAATCACATTGCTACGTGAAAATGTTTCTAAACTATACAGGAGCCCAGTTAATTATATACTCACGTACAACAACACACATACAACACACAAGAGAAAGATATACGGTCATCCAACTGGACAGATTTCATTTTGGACTAATTGGGTTTCCTGTTTTAATATCCACTTCCATGTTGCTAAAAAATAATCATAGTCAACTAACTCTAAAATATGTTCACACTGCAGGCAAGTCACTCTCTTCAGATAATGAAGGCCCAGGAAGGGGGTCACTCCTCTAATCAAACAGGTTGCTAAAAAATTTCATTTTATGATGCCGAAGCATCCTAGATATGGTTATCAAAGCAGGGTCCCTGAAATCCTTTCATAGGATCGATCACACAGTCAAAATTATAAAAAAACAAACAAAACAAAACAAAACAAAACAAAAAACAGTTTCATTTGCCTTTTTCACTGACACTGATAGTACAAAATTAATGGCAGGTAAAACTGCTGTTACTTCAGCATGAACCCAGAAGTGGCACCTAACTGTATCAGCAGCCATTTATTCACAACCATGCAATCCCAGTGAAATGCTATTTTTCAGTTTTTAAAATTTTTTTCTGATAAAAATGTTACTTATGTTAACATATAATTGGTTTATTATTTTAAAATCCAGTACTACTGGGGCTGGCACTGTGGTGTAGTGGGTAAAGCAACCGCCTGCAGTGCCAGTATCCCATATGGGCGCCAGTTTGAGTCCTGGCTTCTCCACTTCCCAGCCAGCTCTCTGCTATGGCCTGGGAAAGCAGCAGAAGATGGCCCAAGTCCTTGGGCCCCTGCACCAGCGTGGGAGACCTGGAAGAAGCTCTTGGATCCTGGCTTTGGATTAGCCTAGCTCTGGCTGTTGTGGCCATTTGGGGAGTGAAGCAGCAGATGGAAGACTTCTCTGCCTCTGCCTCTCTGTAATTCTGCCTTTCGAATAAATAAATATCTTTAAAAAAATCCAATACTACTTTGCCTCATTTAAAATTTCCAATAAAGAAAATATCAATAGATGTAACTGATATACACAAATAAAACTTGTTTGATATTTTCAATCATTTTTAAGTGTAGAAAGAGTCTTGAGAACAAAATTTTAGCATCCAATGTCAAAAGACTACCTAATTTCCATCAGAGGTGGTGGGGGGACAGTGAAGAAAACATGGAAAAGACATTCTGAAGTTCAATGATGTGATAACAAGACAGAAGGAAATAAAAATTAAAAGCATGGTAAAAATTCGAGATTTTGGTACTCAGATATTTTTAGAGAAATGACCTTAATAAAGTACTTAAACATATCATCTTCTTTATTTGGGGAAGAACTCTTTTTTGGGGGTAGGGGGTGAAGGAGTGGAATGGGGATTTAGTATGGGTCCTGTCTGAGTGGGTTAAACTGATATTAAAGAAAGCTTGCGAATGTTTTTCAAAGGGTAGCAGCTAACACTCATATCTAGAGTGAATTTTAAGTGAAAGACTAACAAAAAGAGATTCTTTTAGAACCAGGAAAAATTGACAATCTCTAGATACAATTAAGGGAGTAAGTGAAACAACTACAAGACTATGACTTTTGCATCCCTCAATGAATACCAGCAACTCCAGGGAAAAGCTTATCAGAGCTCAACAAACATAGCAATTCACAATAATGCAACCCAGGCCCATACATAGCAGACACTTATGTGTGGAAGACAGTATTTAGACAGTACAATGTCATAAATGTCTGAAGACCTTTTAATAATTGTTCCTGACACACATCACAGACAAATACTGACCAAAATACAGATTTACAAAATTATGTAATACCAGGATGACACAGGCCCTACATGATCTATGGGGAGGAAAAGAAAGAAACTGAGGGGGTGCAATACAGATGCATATACAAAGAGATATAAGGCAATCAACGCATGCGCTGGTGTGAACACTTACCTACCTACATTTGAATTTCAATGGTTCCAAGTTCTTCAGGTCACACTCATGGGAACTCCAAAGAATGGAGATCTGGAGAGAAGATCTCAAGTTGAGGAAGCTTTTTCCCCCTGAGTTTTAAATTTAATGTCTAAAACATTGGTATTGACTAGATTATAGGTCCAGAAAAGTATGCTGAGAATTCTAGTAACTCAACTGAAGTTATTTTGATTAATCACTAAAAATAAGTTTCTTAAGATTATAACATGTTTATCTTATTCATAAGGTCTTTATAGACAATATGATAAGTTATTAAGCTTACTGGTAAATAGGACTTAAGGATGAAAATGTCAAAATAATCTACAATTAAAAATACAGTCTCTACATTAGTATAAATATATACTATTATATGACTCAAAATGTAAAGATACAATATTGATATTTATAGGTTGAATTAAAAACCTCATCTATAGCCAAATGAGTTGAAAGAGTGAAAACAAACAATCTAAGACTTGGTGAAAAGCTAGAGTAAAAACTGGTTAAAAACCATTTGGGCATAATAGAGACAGAAGAGAACCACCTTTGACTTAATATAACATCTATGTTTTCCAAGGAAGGGATATGAAAATTAAAAATTAGAAACAATGTAAAAGTGAAGTAGAGCTTTGTAGTTTATACACATTTCAGTTCTACTGTTAACACTGAAAAGGAAAGTGACAAATACAGCTACTAAGAGTACAACTGTTAAAAACTTCATAAACACAAATGTACAGGGACAAGTAAAAAGACTTCCTTTTCAATTTCTTTTTGTATCATTTTGTTGGTCAGTAAAGTGGAGAGCTT